GATGGATTTAAGTTGATGTTATGTGATGGACTTAACTGTGTTCAATTTTTACTATATTGAATTTAAGTTGATGTTATTGAACTGTGTTGGAGTTTAAGTAGTATTGTGTTTTTTCTACGTCGGATTTAGGATAAGTACAATATAATGACTCTTTCCATATTTTCGGGCTAAACCAGGCTAACCCGGGCTAAAACGGGTGACCCATTAACCCTTGACTCACTAGCTCAACCGGACCAACGGGCTAAACCGGGTGGACAACCTTGCTTAAATGCAATAGCTCATATTTATAAGAGGAAACCTCTCGTCATTAAAGAGTGTGATCTAGCCAGAGCATGGAAACCACTCCCATATCCTAATTTTGAAGAGCATTTACTCCAAGCACCAACAACAAATGAAACCATCATAAAACAAGTATAAGTACACACCCCATTTATTCACATAGAGCCTGTACAAGAGGTAGAAGTTATGAAATGGGATACTCATCCTCGAGCCTCAAAACATAACAAAAAAGATCGTGAAGAAGAAGAGGCAGAGACAGTTCAAATAGATTTAATATAATGAAGAGATGGGAAACCCTCACACCACCATTAACATTGCTTCTCAAAGAGGGTTTATAAAAGGAGAGGAAGGGGAAGAACAAACATTCACACTTACCCATATCAACCCAACAACAAAAAAACACTCTCACATCCATAAACCCAACTCATTTTGGAGAAAAGCCACCACTAGAAAAATAAAAAGCAACACAAACCTAAACGCAACCACTATAACCTTACCCACTTTGTACTCAACCTTCAGTCTCAACTTGTGAGAATTGGAGGAATTGGCATGGGCATGTTGTTAGGAAAATGGATGACTCATGCCACAATTGCCCCAATCAAAGATATAAGTGTCTCTCTGAACAAGTGGAAGAACTATGGGGAGATCCAAACGAAGGGGGAGGGGGGACATTTACATTTACATTTCCCCTTCAGAGCCTAGCAGAGATGCAATAATGTGGGATTCTAGGTCGTGGAGCCTCTAAAATACTTCCATTGCCTTGAAGAACTAGGACGAGAACGTGAAGCCTAAGAAGTGAATCTCTCCAAAATCACAATATGGGTACAACTTCACGATCTTCCTGGATGCTAAAGGATGAACTCACCATTTAAGCCATTGCAGCGTACGTATCTCCATAGTTTCACAAAATTGACCGAGCAAGTTTCAAATCCATGGGCGGAAATGTTTGGTCGGAATCTTGTTAAAAGTGGACCTGAATGAGCTCGTTCCCATCGAATTTGAGTACCCCAATGGGAACTAAGCGGTCTGGGTTAGCTTCAAGTATGAAAGGATATTAGGTTTATGTTATTTTTTACAAAATATGGCACCTTCTCCATAGCTGTGCAAGTTGAGAGGAAAATTGAAGAAGAGGGTTGCCCGCTGAGCCCGTTGAGATCTATTCGATGACTCTCAGAGCGGGCCATGATTCACCGGCAAGCACTTCACCACCGTCGTTCTTCCGCCAATCGTAGAAAGAGAGAAACATCCCCATGATTGCTATCCAGCCCCAACACGTTTCTCCATACAAACTCGAGGAACACACCTCAATGACTATTATGATTGTCGGAAACAACCTACAACCCATATGCACACCTGATTTCGAAGGAAGGATTATGGGAAGCCAACAATCAATCACTAACATATTCCCACTAGAGCACATAGGATATACTAGCTCCCTACTCACACCCCGGAGGCTAGAATATGACCTCGATGATGCAGCTGAGGTGGTCAGGCGGTCACTTTACCCAAACATGGGGCTGGTAAGGAGCAATGGCTCGGAGACTAAGCCGAGGACGAGTCAAGAATTCGCTTCCACAAGCCCAACAAAAACCCTCGAAACGCTGGGCCTAGAAGATGGCCTGAGAAACCCTCCTGACAACAAGTCTCTCTCCTTGTACAAGAGGCCCAACTTAACTACGCAACTGTTTGAGGCCAGATCTTTGGATCCCATCAGCCGACTAATATGCTCCATGATTTTTGAGTTTTTCTCCTGGTTCAGTGGTAGGTGAAAATAGAGGTTAAACTCAATACAAGAAGGAGATCAATGGAGGCGGGAATGTCGAGTGGTAACAACTCAGGAGCATAGGGCTAACACTCCCCATAGGCAGCAGTGGATCGCCTTGAGCCACCACAGCTAGAAATGACGTTCTTAAGCTGGAATTGTAGGAGATACAACCAATACCCTACAGAAAGCTATTGCGACATGTTGTACTCGTATCGTCAATTCGGCATGTCTATTTTTTTCGTGTGGGAACAAAGAATGATAAGCCTTTCACGGAGGAGAGGAGGAAGACGTTTTCACAAAATCAGAGTATGTAGAACTCACGATGGTTGTATCAGTCTAACTGTTTGGTGGAAGGCGAGAATCCATTTTCAATTGCTCGATTCCAATGATTACTATCTATACGAAAAAATTAGCTATCGTTTCGAATTTTTCTGTACTTTTGTCCATGCTCCTATCACCACTATAAGTCGAAGGAGATTCCGGGAGCACCTTAGAACTATTCAAAGTAATGTAGATAATAGGTGGCTAATCATAGGTGATAAGAATGTAGCCATGTTCGACCATGAAAAAGAATGGCGATGTCCTCTTTGTAATGAGAAAATGCAGTGGTGTAGCCAGAAATATTGTTAAGGTGGGTCAAAAATAAAAGGCAAAGTACACTTGTGTCTTGTATAATCTCAACTTTTAGGTTTTTACTAATAATATGTAGTATTTTATAAATACATAAAGCATGAAATGGAGACTATGGAAGGAGTTAATGGTGGTCACTTGCAACGATATGTGGTCGTGGAGTTTCTCTGGGGTCTGGATTTGGAACTTTTAATTAGAAGAGAAGGATAAGACATATTGGATTTTTTTGTTTGGTTTTTTAATTAATTATTTATTTTAAGTGAAATATGTCGTGTCATCTACATGTCACATGACCTTGAGTTGTCGCAGATGTGTGCATTGATTTTTCATAAGTATTACCGTATCATTAAAATAACTTACGATATCTCTGTCACCGTTAAAGTTTGTTACAGAATTGGTTAGATTTGTCATACCACCATCCACATTTATGACTACTTTGCTTGTTTTTTTAAAAGTGGCTATTATTGTCACAAAACAAAAAATGTGATTATGTATATGTATTTGGGAAGAAAAAAAAACTTATATTAATATTTTACAATGATACATGAAGTGTTTTCATAATCTGAAAAAATATCTAAAATACATTAATGATATAAGTTTCAAATAAATAATCCAAATGTTGACTTAAACTCACTAGCTAGCTTGTAGTGTAGCAGTGGAAGTGTGCCTTGATGTTTTTTTTTTTTTTTGTGGACTTGTCAATCTAAGGGAGTGCAGCCAACCTCCCTTGGTTGACTGTGGCTCCACCACTGAGAACGTGGAAGTGTTCAAGTAATTCCTGATCTAGAGTGCCCTCATTGACCTCGGCCACAAGGGACAACCCTTAATTTGGTCCAACAAACAACAAAGACAAAACATCATAATGGAGAAACTTGATCGCGCTCTATGCTATGTCCCCTGAGAAACAGAAGTTAAGGAGGAAACTATATTCCACGAGGACATGATCTAGCATGTGAGAATAAATGAGGAAATTGATTAAGGATTTATGCCTATTATGCATCCAACCACCTACCATTATAGTGCATCCAAATTCTTTCCAATGAGACCTAATATTCTCAATCAATAGCTAACATTCTTTTAAAATGCTATCTAACAAAGTGAATATCAAAGAATAATAAGCAGCACCTCGGTAATCAAGACCAAGAATCCAATGCAACTTTAAACCCTAGAGAATTAATTGCATCTAAAGGAATACAAGCATCAAACCATCTAGCCCATGCTCCTTCTACACACAATACAACTTCTTTAGATGCTAAGACACTCTTTATTCTTGATTGGTTACCCAGAGTTGATCGTGGAGCAACCAAAGTTTCAACTGAACTCCTAACCATATTTGCGGAAGTAGCTTGTTCTTTTGAACTACTACCATCATCTTGTGAAATAGAACTACTATCACGAGGTTCATTAAATGTGGATTTGATAGCTTTATTTTCTTTTTATTAGTTTCATACTCACATGCTTCAGCAAGTTTTACGAACCTTATGAGGCACCTTTGGGCATATAATATTATCCCGACTAATTTCAGCTAGTTGTTTTTTTTTTATTCTAGTGATTCATTCATCTTTATTAACTTTGGTACAATGTATGAAAGTGCATACCTCAACTTTTCCCTCAATGTCACACAAAGCATACTTTAAAATCTTCAAAAATGCTCTCAAACGAAAACGACGGAACCTCCGCGTCGGCGCCGGCCCTACTCCCCTCGGACCGCCCGCCTGACCCTCTTTTCTCTCCGGCGCAAGCCGCGTCGAATCATTCTCCGCTGATTGTGGCACAGGCCACAGGAACCTCTGAAATGGCAATTGACTCTTCTTCTTTGTCTGTGCAACAGGTGTTGACGAATGCTTTGGCGACGGAAGCGCAACCAGGACAGGCAACCGGGAAGATGCCAGGCCAGCCCTTTTCCTACGCTAATGCAGTCATGGGGCTGCCACAGAAAGCGATGGCTTTGAGCCAATCTGTTCAATGGACTCCGGTAGGAGAGCACGATCTAGTGCCTGGCGATCGGAATGGGGAGCCAGCGCTCACAATTTCGGCCGATTTCAAAGGAAAGTTATGTGCACCCTGGCAAAGAACGCTGGTTATCAGGTTACTTGGTTTAAGGATTGGCTTCGTTACTCTTTGCAACCGACTTAGAAGCTTATGGCGGCCGACGGGCACAATGGAAGTTAAGGATCTGGATCACGACTGCTTCCTTGTTAAGTTGGAAAATGAACAGGACTACTTCCGTGCTCTGACAGATGGACCTTGGGTAATTTACGATCACTACTTGGTCATTCAGCAATGGTCGCCCAAGTTCAAGGCCTCCGATCCTCTTCCTAAAACCATGATCGTCTGGGTCCAGCTCCCTGCTCTGAAAATCCATTTATATCATAAGGAGGTTCTGACTATGCTGGGGAACCTCATTGGGCGGACCATCAAGCTAGATTATCATACCCTAACTCAGCAGCGAGCGAAGTTTGCTCGGTTAGCAGTAGAAGTTGATATCTCGAAAGCCCTGGTTCCTAGAATCTGGCTTGACGATGAATGGCAGAAAGTTGAATATGAAAACCTCCCTGAGGTCTGCTTCGAATGCGGAAAAATTGGCCACAACGTGGGTACATGTCCCCAGATAGCAACGACTACGTCACCGTCTCAAGGGAATCTTGCCAGAGCTTTAGTGCCGGCCGGCCCGTCTCCTTCATCGGAAGACCCAAATCCGGGCTTCGGGCCATGGATGTTGGTAACGAGAAGATCGCGGCGGAATTCAGGGGATGTGCAAAGAAAAGGAAAGGGGGAACAGGATACAGGGACGCAGTTGACTATTTCCAAAAGTGGGAATCGTGGAGCAGCTGGCAAGGAAGCAAATCAAAGTTTGCCCATTTTGGCGACACCCAACGGTCCTTCGCTTCAACAGAATCAAGCCCAAGAAAGGAAGGTGAATAACGGGAAGAAAAGTGGCGAGGATGGGAAAAAAGGTAAAGGGAAGACAACTAATGATCCAACAGGAAAAGGGAAAGGGATTCTTGGGCCGAAGCCCAAATCAGGAGCTTGCTCCTCAAGTCCAAGGCAGCCCGTGCAGGAAGGGGCTTCGTCTTCGTTCAGCCCGCCGGTGTCATCAAGTGATCAGCCAGCTCCTCTGAACAGCCCAGATACGGCGAATGGGCTCACAGCCCATAAGCCAGCTTCCGGCCCACCCCAACCTCCAATCTTCCGGTCTGTAATGGGCCCCAATGGTACTTTGATGCAGATCGTCGAAAACCCTCCTTCTCCAAACGACAACGGCGACCCAACTCCCTCATTATCGGCAAGAACTAAACAGAGCAAGGGTAAGAAAACGCAAGGAAAAAGGTCGCCGGCCAAGCTGAACCCGATGAAACCTTTGCAAATCTGGTCGCCAGTGAAGGAAAGAAAGCCCAAATCAAAGTCGCGCATGGCTTCGTTGACTTTGCAGGAAATCAGTGCTTGGACGGAAGCGGCAAAGAAATCGTCAAACGGAGACGGGGAGAAAGAGCCGAATGGGCTGAATGGCCAGACGCAGGCGAACAGCTCGGGCGACGCAACTCCGACCTAGGCGATTCGACAATCCTCGCTCTCTGGTCTCGTCAATCCCCTTCTTGTGTATGACCCATCTCTATGTCGATGAACTATAAATTTAAAGTGTTTTCGTGGAACGTCGGCGGTGCAGGGAGTAGAGCGTTTTGCAGGGCTCTGAAATTGGCAATTCAGACATACCGGCCTGATTTCGTGGTACTCTTGGAACCACAGCTTAGCGGCAGTTCGGCTGATGTGATTTGTGACAGGTTGGGCTTCCCAAATTCTTTCCGGGTGGAAGCAGTGGGACGTAAGGGCGGCGTGTGGGTTTTCTGGGATGGTGGCGTGTTCTCGGTTCAACCTTTCTCTGCCTGCTCGCAGCAAATTTCTCTCAGAGTTTGTGCAGCCAATAGATCGCCTTGGATGCTGACGGCTGTTTATGCTTCTCCTCGGCAAAGGGAGCAACGATACCTGTGGGAGAGTCTGATCTCCCAAAGTAAGTTCATCGACATTCCTTGGCTGCTTACAGGAGACTTTAATGCCATTAGCAAGCCGGAGGAAAAATCGGGTCCCCCTGCAAGGAACACTCTGAGGAAGTGTCATTGGTTCACGGAGAGATTACACCTAGCAGAGCTCATTGACCTCGGCTTTTCGGGGCCAAAGTATACCTGGTCTAGAGGTGACCAGAGCTCTACCTTTAAAGCTAGCAGGCTGGACAGGAGCCTGGGCAATCTTCACTGGAACTTGGCGTTCCCCAACTCGTCCGTGGTGCATCTCCCGCGTCACCAGTCCGATCACAACCCGATTCTCACCAGCGTGGACCTTCAAACAACTCCGATCCAAACTACAAAGACCTTCAGGTTTGAAGCTGCTTGGTTGACAAATGAGAGCTTACCTAACGTAATTGCCGATAATTGGGACACTAATGCACCGCTTCAGAATGCCCTTCAATCGATGGCCGGTAAGCTTGCCGAGTGGAACACGGTGGTCTTTGGGGACATTAAGCAGAGAAAGCGGAGACTGCTGGCAAGAATTAAGGGCGTGGAGTCAAGACTTGCATATGGGTTCTTACCCGGTTTAGCCAAGCTGCATTCTAAGTTGACCCGCGAACTTGATAAAGTGTTAGAGTAGGAGGAGCTCGTTTGGTACCAGCGGTCGAGAGACAATTGGGTCAAATATGGAGAGAGGAACACAACGTATTTTCACCAGCAAGTCAACATCAGACGGCGTTTCAACAAGATCGAGGCGTTGCTGGATGATCATGATAATTGGGTGACGGATCCTCATTCTCTTGCTATCCTTGTTTTTGAATTTTTCACTAACATTTTTTTGCAGGATAGTTCTCCGTACGAGGATCGTCTACCCAAAAACTGCTTCCCTCGGTTGAATCATGCGGAAGCGGCTGCTTTGTTCAGACCTTTCGACATTCTGGACATTCATAAGGCAATCTTTGACATGAAGCCGTTTCAAGCTCCGGGCCCAGACGGATTTCATGCAGCGTTTTATCAGCAGTTCTGGCAGGTTGTAGGGAAGTCTCTCTCCGATATGGCTCTATCCTTTTTCATGACAGGTACTCTCCCGGAGGCGGTAACTGAGTCTACTCTTGTGCTCATCCCTAAAGTGGACGCGCCTGAAAGGGTTACTCAGCTCAGGCCCATTTCCCTCAACAATGTGTGTCTCAAGAGCATCACCAAGGCCATGACGTCGAGATTAAAGCCCTTCATGAGAAAATTGATTTCTCCTAGACAGAGCAGCTTCATTCCTGGTAGACAAACAACTGATAACATCATTGTTGTCCAAGAAATTCTACATTCTTTCAGGAAGAGAAGAGGGAAGAAAGGAGGCATGGTGTTCAAAATTGATCTTGAGAAAGCATATGATATGCTTAGGTGGGACTTCTTACGAGATACCTTGAAGGAAGTCGGGCTGCCAAGTAGCTGGATCAGCTGTATCATGTACTGCGTGGAGCATAACTCCATGCGAATCAGGTGGAATGGGGAGCTGTCTCCACCAATCACCCCGTCCCGTGGAGTTCGTCAGGGAGATCCTCTCTCACCCTATCTTTTTGTTTTGTGCATGGAAAGGTTATCTCATATGATTGACGAGGCGGTCAATAACGGACAGTGGAAGGCGGTGCGGCTGACCAGTTCCGGGCCGCCGCTAACTCATCTTTTTTTTGCAGATGATCTGCTGCTTTTTGCTGAAGCGGAGAGGAGGCAAATCCGAGTCATTAAGCAGTGCCTGGCGGACTTCTGTCACAGTTCGGGTCAACGGGTCAACTACAGCAAGTCCATCCTCTATGTCTCCCCGAATGTTGCCCGGCGGAAAGCTGAATACCTGAGCACGTGTGCGGGGATTCCTTTGAAGGCTGCATTGGGGAGATATCTCGGGATTCAGGCTATTCAGGAAAGGATCACTAAAGGGAGATATCAGTCCCTCATTCTGCGGATTCAGAAGAAGATGGCCCCGTGGAAGGCGAAACGCCTGTCCTTTGCTGCTCGGCTTACCGTTGCCCAATCGGTGACGGCTTCCTTACCCGTTTACACTATGCATACAGAATTGATTCCTAGTGGTGTTTGCAGGAGTATCGATAAGATCAGCAGAGACTTCATCTGGGGAGATGAGGAGAACCACTCAAAGTTCCATCTCATTGCCTGGGAGAGACTTTTGATGCCTAAAGCACAAGGGGGAGCGGGACTTAGATCAACTCGACAGGCCAACCTGGCTATGCTCGCCAAGTGCGGGTGGCGTCTTCTTCAGGAAAAAGAGAATGTTTGGCAGAAGCTCCTTCTTTCGAAGTATGGCGGCCAAAGATCCGGACTGGAGGTCTTGCAAAAAAAAACAGGGAAGTTCCTTCACCTGGAATAGCTTTGTGAAAGCTGCTGACCTCCTTAAGCAAGGATGTGCTTGGAATATTAGTAATGGGAAAAGAACTAAGTTTTGGAATGATTTATGGGTTTTGCAGGTGCCTCTTAAGGAGCTGGCGATTAGTGCATTGCCGGAGGGCGCGGAGGAAGCTAGAGTGGCGGATTTTGTTCGTGAGGACGGCAGCTGGCGCATGGAAATGTTCTCCGAGCTTCTCCCTCCGGAAGTCTGCAGCAAGATTACAAGTGTAGCTGTTGACAGCCTATCTCAGAAGGAAGATTCTCTTTTCTGGGCTCCGGCTGCCGACGGCAGATTCTCTACGAAATCGGCGTATGCTTTGCTCACTAAGCATGATCAGCAGGCTGATGGTGTGATTTGGAGGACGATTTGGCGACTACCTGTTCCGGAGCGGGTTCGAGGCTTTTGTTGGCTGGCAGTTCAGGGGAGGATTGCTACGAATGCCCTCCGTTTTCAGAGAAAAGTGGCAACGTCACCCTTTTGTACGCGTTGTACAGGCCACCCGGAGACGGTGTTACACATAGTGCGAGATTGTGCGCCGGCACTTTTCTTCTGGTCCAGGCTTGTTCCGCAGCAAAAGCAGCATGAGTTCTTCAATGCTGGCCATGATGCCTGGTTTCGCAGTAATCTGTTGAGCAAAGAGTCCACCAGCTCGGGTATTAGTTGGCCGGGATTCTTCAGCATGGCCATCTGGCTGTTATGGAAAAATCGAACAACCGCTGCTTTCAAAGGAGTAAGTGCGGCACTTTCAGCTCCATCTCTTATGCATTCCATCCTAACCAAGAGTAAGCTGTGGAATGATTCTTGGCATGCTCCGGAGCTCTTCATCAATCATAAGAAGCATCAAGCTGATCGAGTTGTGGCAGCTATTGGATGGAAGCCACCAATGGAGGGCTGGGTTTTGGTTAACACGGATGGTGCCTCGAATGGCAATCCAGGCCCGGCAGGTGCTGGGGGAATCATTCGAGACTCGTTAGGCAACTGGCTGGGTGGCTTCGTGGCCAATGTAGGTACGGCCTCGGCTGCTCTAGCGGAGCTTTGGGCTATTCTTTATGGCTTGGAGTTGGCCTGGAAACTCGGCTATCGAGTGGTGAAGCTTGAGTCAGATTCACAGCTGGCTATTCAGTTAATTCAGGAGAGACATGACCCCATTCACCCTTATGCAACCCTTCTGAGCCTTATTCGCAGGAAAATTGGTCAGGATTGGTTGATTAGTCTGGCTCATACGTACCGAGAAGGGAATAGAGTCGCGGACTGGCTCTCGAAGCACAGTCTCGTCTATCCCTACGGTATGCATGAGCTGGCTAATCCCCCATCAGGTGTTACTTCGATTTTGCAGGATGACATTAGAGGTGTTACTTTTGAGCGCCGGGTTGTGGCTAGCTCTTCTTCTTCCACCTAACCTCTCCCTGTAACTCTTCTTGTTCTTGGCTGCGGCCTCCTTGCTATGCAAAAAAAAAAAAAAACTTTTCCCTCAATGAAGGGTACAATGATCCCAAGTAGGATCTTACTTGGCTCGTAGATTTTTTGTCATTGCTCTTGTTAACTAGAAGCTTGTTCTTGGTCAACCGATTAGCTTCTTCGTTAATCAATGTCGTCAATAAATAAATTAAGTGGTCGTTTTCTTCTTGGATTAAAACATGAGGGCATTTTTTAGAACTTGTGATTTGAAAACCTAAGAATTTATTAGAGATTTGAGGCGTTATGAATTTGAAACAATTCTTTATTGTTAATTTGCTTTTATCACGGATTTAAGACTTTGGGATTTAGAACTTAAAAACTGAATTTAATTTACCCTTTAAACTTATTAGAAACAAGAGTCTCCCAATTTCTTATATGTTCCTTCTTTCCTCATTCAACCCCTACAAAAGGGCTTGTTCACGAGTCAATGAATGAGAAGGAAATCATATGTGGTGCAATTTTTGTGTGTTTTGTTTATTGTGCTCTTCTTGTTATCAATGAATAGGAAGGAAATCAATGTTGTCAAAATACTAGTTGTAATATGAACAATCTACTTATAAAATACAACATGCTTCACAACTATAAAGAGCTTATACAACCCGATGCATGATCGTCAAATATGATTTGGTAGCTTAATGATATTGGCACTTGAATTGACTTGGTATGAAACGAAATATGGATAAATAACACAAAGCAATCAAGACATGGAAAGGAAAATGATCTAGTTTTTGCTTTGTGATATGCTTAAATATAGAAATACTTAAACGATCAAAACTGAAATATATGTAGACATAAATATAGAGAATCTAAAAATAGAGCAGTATATATCTTTTTGTTAATTATTGGGCTATTATGGTGAGATTTGTCATCTTGTAATTTGCTTGAATGTTGATTAAGCTTGATGCATGTTACGGGATTTAGATCGACTTGTAATGTGCTAGGAGTTCATTGGTTTTGATTTCTTTTTTAAATTTATTTGGTCATCTTGTAGTTTGTTTGTAGTTATTTGATTTATTTTAAGAAAATCTTTACATAGTTAGAGAGATGAGATGATTATGAATGGTGATGATGGAATAATGTGATCAAGTTGTTTTTCTCACCTCTGGTTTGTAGTTTGGGGAGGGGATGAAGATGCTTTACTCTCCAATCTTCCGCGTGGGTTCTTCACTTGATTTGCATACAAGAATGATCTGGTCCTAGGTTGTGGTGGACATTTTATCTTTTATTGTTGTTGGATCTTTGACGGTAGTAGGGTTCTGTTTTGCTGTCTTTTTCTGGTTGTTTGGATATGAGAGAAGGATGTTTTGGTGCCAAACAAAATTGAGAGGATTTTTCTGAAAGTGTGTTTGGAAGCTTTGGTGCTTCTTAATTCTGTCCCCCAAATCACAAAGCCAAAATGTTGTTTTTTTTAAGACAAGTGGTTGTCTCTTGATTGGCTACTTGATGATGGCGTTGAAGTTTAATTAACTTTTGGGAATTGCCCCATTCGTTGTCTATACAGGTTGAAATTATCGGGTGAATCCGAGCTGATCATAAAGGGGGAACCAATTGGGTGCACACAGACCTAATCAAGTCGACCTACATTGATCAGGCTTTGACTTTGAGCGTTTTTTTCTTGTACAATTGTAATAACTTTTGTAATTTATTGCAATAATAAAGAGTGTATATAATTGTACTTGTAATGGTTATTTATATGAATCTTAACTAAAGTAGTTCTTTATTTATTATTATTCTCTTATCGTTCTAAAATCGAGGCCTAACTTTACCAACACCAAATGTCTAAGGGTATCAAATCTAGTTGAATGATTGATGATAAATACAAAAATCAATAATTTAATCAATCAATGCCATCCAAGTTTAGGAATTGCCTAACTTGTTTAACCAAACCAAAACCAAACACGACCACCCACCACCATCAACTTGACAAAAATAAATTTCATAGCAATCTTAAACCATACCGTCTTATTTGAATTTGGTATTGCTAATCTTGTCGTGCCGAGGCAAATAACCTCAATTGCTTCAATCCATATTTAGTTGGAAGGACGTTTAAAATATGCAATTTCCAATCTCAAACAAACTAATTTCTTAAGCAAAAAAATTTCATAGTTGAAGAGATTTCAATGTAGACAAAATGTGATGTCTACAATATTCATATGGAACATCAAATCCAAGATGAGCTCAGAGACAAATGGAACTAGGTCATATCAAATTACTTTATATTTTGGACTCACTTATATTCAAATATGTTCCAAGACCAAAATAATGGATGATATTGAGGATCACATTACATAATTGAAATAGATTAAGAGTACATTATTTAGGGTTTTTTGGTTATCTGCTCTAACAATTATGATTCTTTGGTTACTCCTTTGATCGCTTAGGTTCACGAATATACTGTTTCCAATGTTTTCTTTGTTGTTGCATAAACTAGCCTTAGTTTTGGATGCCTCATAGGTTTAATGCCCATTCTTTTTACAACTTTCAATTACATCAAGTTTCAACAATTAGAGATAGAGCACGAGTTCAATGATTTTCATCTCTCTACTGTTGGACAGAGAAAAGACAGATATATAATTTTGCTATATCACTTAGCAGTTTTCACTTAGATATTTCTCGGCATGTATTAAGGCGTTTATCATCAATTAATTAACTAAATTAATAAAGTTAACCCCCTCTCTCTACATCTAAAACCCTCTCCCTTCTATCTGACCACATCTCTTGAGTATCTCAAAGGGTGCCGACGACAACCCACCCATATGAACCGTTCTTTCTTTTCCCTCCTTTTTGCATGTCTCTTCTTGCTTTCTTTCTTTTTCTTCAGCTTTTCGATCCTTTGTTAGGCTTTTTTCCTCCCCCCTTCGTGGTTCTCATTTCCCTTTTGTGAATTCCAGTCGATCCCCTCTATGAGTTCATCTTTTGTCCTCTGTAATGATCTATCAGAGCGGGAGATGTTGTTTTCGATCTAAGTAGCAAAGAAGGTTGGATTTTTCAAAAGTTCAGCTTGTCTTCTCCTCCTTTGTCCCTTCGTTTATCTCCTGGGTTCACTTTGTTGTTTTTAGTGTTTCAGGGATGTTAGCCTTGTGGATTGGACTCGAATCTATGTTTTTGAAGACGATCTAGGGTTGGTGGTGCATCCCCTTGCGATTTGTGAGGATCCGTTGGTGGTGCACCCCTTTGCGACCGCTGCTGGTTCTCCATCTGGGTTTGGATGTCTTGCTTTTGTTGGTGGTGATGTTGGTGATCAACGTTCTATCACCCGTGGTCGAAGCATCCAACGGTAGTGGTGTTTTGTATTGGGGGCATTGTGCGGCTATGCTTTGGGGAGATTGACCCATATGTTTGAGCTATTTGTCTGGAGCCTTTGTTTTGGACTGTTGGGTTCTTTTTCTCTTTTTTAACTGTAATGTGTAATGTTTGATTTTTTCCATTGGGCTTGCCCATTTGTTATTTAATGAACTGGCGTTAAAAAAAAATAATTAACAAATACTACTATTACTTTTCTCTTATATTCTTTTTACGCAAGCGATAAAATAAATGTTATTGTCCTATTCTTTGTAATTTATTCTTACAATCATTGGGCGAGTGACCTTTCTTTTTTGGACGCATGTGATGTTTGAATTTTACGCCTTTTGCCGCGTAAATCTATATCATGTATTATGAACGAAACTTAACACATTAACCATAAACTATCATCCAAATTTTATAATAACAAAGTAATGTTTCAACAACAATTCAAATAACTGATCTTACAAATGTACAACAAGTTATTTGGCAAAGATAATCCATTTAAGTCATCCAAACAACCTTATGTGAGATCTATTCCTCTAAATGGGTTAATTTAGCTCAATTAACTCATTATAGTTGGGCCAAATTAATCCATCAAAATGATCATCCAAAGCAGCCCTTAATCTTCAGCTCTGGCGCTCGCCCCATCACTCTCCCCTCCTTTTTTTCCTCTTCCATTTGCTTCCGTCGTGTGAGCAAGACAATCACTCAGCTTGGGACTTGCGCTCCTTACTCTCACTCACACACACTCTCTCAGTCTCTCTCTGTTCCACTGTAAGTTCGTGTTCCCGTTTTCCAGATTTTGCAGCTTCATTTGCTTTGGTTCCTCCTCGCCGTGCCGACTGTTTGCATTTTTTCGCTTCTCTCCTTGATCAGTTTTAGGGTTTCTGTGTTGTTGATTCCCGACCCACATTGCTGTTTTCTCTTCTCTGCAAAAGGGAAAATTGGAGCTGAATCCAGAGGCCTCCACTTAAGTTATCTGCATGTGGTTTTTCATGGGTGGGGAATGGGATCTTTTTCTAATTTGAATTTACCTCTGGGTTGCAGACTTGCAGTAGTGTTGCATGGACAAGTTCTTTGCTTTTCATGTTTATCGAACTTGGGTCTCTGATTGTTTTTCAGTTGGTTCCCCTCCCAATTTTATCATCGAAGGTTCAACTTGGACTGAGTGAACACCGAGGTTAAGTTTTCGTTTTCCTCTTTACTGGTGGTGCTAGGGAGGCAGTGAGGGATCTCACTTTGGACAATCAACCATGCCGCCGAATCCCAGAGTGGTTGAGGTCTTCCGGACAATGAGAGAGATCGGATTCAAGGATGAAGTAGTGAAGCCTGTACTGAAAAGGCTTCTGAAGCTGTACGATAAGAAGATCGAATTGATTGAAGAAGACAACTACCGGGTTCTTCTGGACGCTCTACTTGAGGATCAGGAGGTGCATGTTACCCTTGCTCTCACCCTGACATTTCTATTTTTCTCGCCTCTTTGTTGATTCTAATGTTGATGTGTGGTATTTGTTTGTTGACTCAGGGATCGGGAAACAAAAAACCCGTTGATGTATGTGGTCTACATTTTCTGTAAATTCTTACTCTGGTGCAGGTTCATTGTTTTGTATTCATTTACCAGAATTGACGTGTGCCTGTGTGGGTAATCTTGATATAGGAGGCAACCATTGATGAAGATATTCAGGATGAAGAACCTCCTCCGCAACCTCTAAAACGGCTACGTCCATTGCGCATAAGAGACCAAGAAGGAATGGTGTCCCCTTCATCAGGAAACCATAGCCCCCAAACCAATGGAACTTTGCTAGAGCAGTCAGACCTGGAGGATAGAGATCCAACTTCCACAAATTCCATGCAGACAAATATATCTCCTCAGCATCCTGATGCAAGTACAGGCAGCCAGCCTTTGTCTGCACAGAGAAGTTCATCTCAGCAACAAGTAACTGACAGAAATGCAAATAAAGGGAAAGAGCCTATGTCATCACAGGTTCCTGCTAGAGACAAGAGGCCCCTTGATTTAGGAGAGAAATCAATACGTATTGATTCTCCACGAAAGCGAAAAGTGCCTGATGCCAATGCCCTGATAGTACCTAAAGATGAGCCAGTCACCGAGGAGATGCCTCTCAACGAGCGTCCTCTTGCAGTAATAGGGCCCGGTAAATCATTCTACAATGTTGGAGTACAAACATTGTCATTGAAAATTCTTACATACTTTCCTAATGAGTTGAATTGCTTTCTTCATATTCTGCAGATTCTATCGATTATAATAATGCTGACCATGGAGACCAGACTAGCAAGCCCTCTTCTAACTTGGAAATCGCTTCATCCCCTTTAGGAGAGGTGAAGATATCCTTGAGCTGCCAACCTTTGCTTGAAAGGCCAGATTTTCACATGCCAACTCTGGACGAACTGCTGAAATCAGTGGAGGAGAAATATCTCCGACATAAATTACTTGATCCGAACTTTTCCCTCATGCAAATTATGAAAGATATGTGCCAGTGCTTTGTGGAATTGGCAACTGATTCATCTCACGAATCGCAGGAAAGGGGGGTAACCAATGAAACACATTCAGATGATATGTCGAGGAATTCTGGTGCTTCGAATGCACTTTGTCTTGTGGGTACTGATGTAAATAAAGGGGCGCCATCTGATTCATCTGTTGATCCAGAGCTTCAAGTTCCCAGCTTGGTCCATTCCCTGGATAACCATGTGATCCCCAACGGCGGCGATGTAAATGGCTTTGGAACAAGATTAGGAGACTCTGAATCTTGCAGCTTAGCAGTTGTTCCACGATTTCAGACTGGTTGTGATGAATTAAGGTCTCTTCATGACTTAAATGACATTACTAAGGGAGAAGAAGTAGTTGAGATTCCATGGGTTAATGAAGTCAACAATGAGTGCCCACCATCCTTCCACTACATACCGGGAAACCTTGTGTTTCAAAATGCTCGTGTCAAGTTCACTCTTTCTCAGATCACGGCAGATCATTGTTGTGCTTCTTGTGTTGGGAATTGCCTTTCTTCATCATCTCCTTGTGTTTGTGTTGCTGAAACTCTGTATGGGTATGCATACACACCAGATGGTCTTCTAAAGGAGGACTTTCTGAAAGAATGCATCTCCATGACTCGGGATCCTCAGCTACAATGCCTATCCTCCTGCACGGATTGCCCATTGGAGAGATCCAGAAATGAAGAAATGTTAGAGCCATGCAAAGGTCACCTGAACAGGAAATTTATAAAAGAGTGTTGGAGAAAGTGTGGCTGCCATAAGCAGTGTGGTAATCGAGTAGTACAACGAGGTATAAGACACAAGTTGCAGGTATGCTCAGGCCTTCTAATCCCATAGTCATTTGTTGTTATTTTTGACATGTTGCCTGAATGATTGATTCTGTACATCAGGTTTTCTTCACAACTGATGGAAAGGGGTGGGGGCTTAAGACCCTGGAGAAGCTGCCCAAAGGTGCATTCATTTGTGAATACATTGGAGAAATTCTGACCATCAAAGAAGGGCACGAGAGAACAATGCAAAACTCAACAATTACCAAGACTGAGAATCCGCCTTCAGTTCCGTTAGATGCTTATTGGAACTTGAAAGGGGCTCTAAAGGATGATGAGTATCTTTGTTTGGATGCTTCGGACTATGGTAATGTTGCCAGGTTTATAAACCACAGGTAGTTCTTTCTATCTCATGTGTATTTTTACTGCATTGTTAGGGCTCTTGATCTTTCCATGGTTTTTCTTTTTGGCCTCCTATTGTTTCTCCACAACCTACATGTTCGGATTTATTGTCGTTATCTGTGTAAAGTTAACCAAGCTGGCAAATATCGTTTTTGCAAGGTGCCTTGATGCCAATCTAATTGAGATCCCCGTCAAGATAGAAACTCCGGACCATCACTATTATCACGTATGCATTCCTTTGCTCCGAGTACTCTATTCCTGTAATGACACAACTTTTTGTAGTCGCACCTGAAAGCTGAGATGTCTCTTACTGATGCTATATTCACTTTGGTGCAGCTAGCCTTCTTCACAACAAGAGAGGTGGATGCCTCGGAAGAGTTGACTTGGGTGAGCAATTTCATTTTTAGTGACATGCTACCTGGTAGTTCTGCGTATATTAATTGGTTTTCTGAGCTGAGAAGCCTGGAGCTGTACAAATTCAAAAAAAATGATCCAACACGCTTTGTTCGCTTCATGTTCCTTTTATTTTTTGTGAATTGATGTTTGCTCCCTGTAGGATTATGGTATCGACTTTGATGGCAATGATCAACCATTCAAGAATTTTCAATGCAAGTGTGGCAGCAAGTTCTGCAGGAACATGCAGCGAACAAACAGTGAGTTCTCCTATTAAACTCTTAACAATCATAATTAGGCGATATGCTTGTCGAAATTGCCTTCCCGGTATTGTTTGTGAAAGTCCAAGTGGGTGGGAGGACAGTAGAACTGTTCCAACACGAAACAGAAACCGTTAACCACGTAACCGTCTTCCTCCCCACTTAGTAGGCAGGTCCAAACCCAGTCAACTAATTCTTGTATCTTCTACATTCTTATATGTATATATCTACTTTGTTGGTGCAGGATCTAGGCATCTGGCCAGCTGATCATGGGACGAGAAACGGTCATTTTGCAAGCCTTCTTCCTCGGGGCTGAGATGGTAACCTCTAGTTTTGCGCTAACCCTTGTAAGAAAGCCATCCGTTTCCCAGACTTCTGTACGAATTTAGGACGTTATTATATAGCCATTCAAATCTTGTTTGGTTATGCAATCTGTGCATTCGGCATTCCTCGGGCCTGTCCATTACGTGTTTTGTTACTCTGAACAGGGTCCTCTGAAGTAGATTCTTGTTAGAATTTTAAACGACTAGTTACTTGTGATAAAAATAATTAACCAATACATAAATATGATTAAGGAGAAAAGTAACAGCTTAACATAAAATTTTGAAACTGGAAGTGACCGAAGAAAGTTCAAACTGGAAATGAAAGAAAGCTGCAGAAGTTTGCGGGTGTGTTTGGCATTGAAAGGGATCAATGTGTAGAGTTAGTCGTATTCAGGACCTATTATGTTCTTGCCGCGGTCAGTAGCTGCTACTTGGCGCTGCTTCTTCATGTGCTGTGTCCTTGCTTTGCTCCACCAAGAAGTAGGCGATTTGGTGAGTTTCTTGAGGATCAGCCTCTGCTTGCTCCCCTCGTTGTACAGCGAGCCATCCTCGTTGGTCATCCACTTCAGTTCCGGCTTGTAAAGACGAGACTTCACTTCTTCCCTCTCGACGTCATAAGCCACGATCCTCGGTTTCTCATCCACCTTCTTTGCCGCCATCTTCAACGTGAACATACTCTGCAACTGCTTGTTCACCTTGATGTGCTCAGCCAACGTTTCTTTTCCCAGAAACCCCTCTAGAAACGCAAACTGCAGCCTTTCTGTCCATGTTGTCAGCATCGTACCCTTTTCTTCCGTCGCCTCCAATCTCTTGCTTGAGCTGCCTTCTTCGAAGAACTTCGCCACAAACGCCAGCCTGGTAGCTCTGGTGTTCTCTTGCTCTTTCCCCTCTTCATGGTCGATCGCTTTCATCAGAAGCAGCCGCTCGTTCAGTTTCTGGGCAATGTTGTGTATGGAAGGGTGAGACGAAGAAGAAGATGATGACGACGACTCTCCTTGTGATCCATTATCTTCCACAGCAGCAGACTTGGGAACGCTCATGTGAGAGTCGATCTCGACGATGAAAGCTAGTGCCTCGGCAGCTGCAAGGACTACGAATTCGTTGTCATGGCCCAGAAGACGGAAGAAGCAAGGAATTGCCTTTTGCCAGTGGGTTCGGCTGATCCCGTACTTGTTGCTGGACAGCATGAAGCACCAAGATGATATGGCGGCTGCAACTAGTTCTGGTGATTGCTCCTTCTTCTTCTTCTTCTTCTTCCCTGTGAACTCATGTTACACATTTAATCATGAAAAATCATAATATGAACGTGAAAAGTCTCGCCATGCGGCTAGGATAGGCTCAGATCCTACGCACTAGTTCTCAATTATGAAAAGAAAACATGATCAGTCAATATTGAATCGTCTATGCACAAATAACGGATAAAGAGGATCTCACATGTTAATTCGAATGTGAGTTGACGGAAATAAAACCAAAAATAAAATTGAAATGACATCCCAGGGATAGTTATGAAATACTACAACTCTAACCAAATAAAATATTTTCCACATTATAAACCCTAAATCACCAATAAAGACAATAACATCTAGAATTTCCATAGAATACTTGTCTAGTCCGTCTATCTCCTCAAACACTGTAATTTATCAAGTAGGCTTTTGGCAATTTCAAACTATTTACATTCTACATCTCTAAAATTGTTGAGTTTTATTTTTATTATAAAAAAATAGTTAAAGTACGTGTCAACCTATATAAATTAACAAATAATTGATTTCTTGTCTGAAAAAAAAAATTGATTTAGTGGTTTCAACCGTCTGGCAAGTTTAAGTATTCCAAAGCGAGTGGTAAAAATTACTCTCCAATAGGTGAATAATATTTTAATTAGGGCGGCAAATTAGTCTAGTCGAGTTAATTATTGATCTAGATTTGCTCAACTTGTTAATAAACCAGTCAAGCTCAATTTCGACTTGTTTATTAAAATCTAGGTTTGCTTTTTACTCGAACTCGACTCATTAATAAGCCCACAAACTCTACTCGAGGTGGACTCACCAATTAGCTCGCGAGGCCATAAATTGTGGAATATCAGCCACGAGAACGTAAAACTAAATAAAAAATTTTAAGGGCAAAACAAGTTATAAAAAAAAAAAAAAGGTTCTGCATTCGAGATTACGATTTACAGGTACCTTGTTCAGCAGCATCAGCAGAGTCGCGGAAAAAATAGTCCCAAATCATGGCCATCGATTCCAACCTATGCTCCGATAGGTATCCGCCGAAGAAAGTGACCACAGCCAAACACTCCACCACCTGAGCGGGCAGCTCGAACCTAAACCCGCCCGATAATTTCACAGCCCCAAACAGCTTAGGGACCGAATCCCGGTAGATCTCGTGAGCAGCCTCCACGTCGTCGCCGACGATCATCGCCACCAGCCCAATCGCACGCACCGCCGCCACCAGCTCCTCGGCCGACCGCCCCCTTTTGACGACGCGGAGGCACTGGTCCACCAGAGTCACCCGATTCGAATCGAGGAACCGATCCTCGGGAAATCTGGTCAGCTCTCGAACCAGGCCTTCCAGCGCCGCTTCCCGCATCCGCGCCCTGTGCTTCTCCGAATCGGACAGCTGGTCTAGGTATCCGGCCAGCGTGTTCGGCTGCGGTGCGGGATTTGTGTTGAAATCCGCGAGGGCGCCGCACGATTGGCAGCGGATTTCGTGGGGGTTGGTGTTGTTGTTGTTGTTGGGGGGAAGGGCGGAGACGTTGTAGCGGCGGGCCAAGGGGAAGAAGGAGTTGGGAGGATCGTCGGCGGTGGGTTTTTTCAGGGTGATGGAGTGGAGGATTAGGTGGTGGCTGCCCTGCCTCTCTTTCACGACGGTGGTGGTCATTGTCGAGAGAAGGCGGTTTCGTTCTCTGGCTCTCTCGTCGAATCCTAATTTTGTGTTGAAGCGCGCACAAGGAAGAAACTCGACGGAGGGCTTTTCATATCGGAAAATTTCTCCCCTTCTTATGGCTTTTCTTCCCTTCTTTTCTTGTCCGGGCAGGAGAGGGAGGCTTCCGACTGAATGCTGCAAGGATGAGTATTCCGTCCCGGCGTAGTTCCTCTTTGGATTTAAACTGCATTTGATAAAGTTGGTTTTTATGATTGGATTCGTATTCTCAATTTTCAACGGTATTACAACCAACAAAAAAATATATATGAATTTATGGTGGCTACTCACTTTTTTAAAAGTGTACATAATACATCAAATTTTGAACTTTAATTAGTACTCTCAATCTAATATGATGATATGACATAGAATCATAACAAATCAATCTATTACCCTAACCCCTTAACCTTCAATTTGGAATCCCTATGCAAAATCTCAAACTGTAAACCTAAACCCTAACCCTAAACCTCTAAATCCTAAATCCTTCAAATTAAAGTAAATTGTAAATGATTTTTTTTCCAATTCATGTGCTTCTTATTCATAATATCATAAACAACAATTGATACCGTTTTGACATGAATCGCATGCTCAGAATGATGATTATGAGGCGGGTGCACTGAATGCACCCAAAAAAGTGGGTGCGTCGAATACGCCACCATGAATTTATGCATATATGAATTTATGATTTATTTGGGATTTATGTACTTTTAAAACTTGTCCATGTATCTTGGGTTTGGATATAACTATATAAGAGCTGACAGTCATATGAAGAAGGCCATTACATGAATAAATTACGAATAATAATGCATGTTGTGGTAACTCTATGTTCTATCGTTAGATTAGACAAACTAAGAATTGATGATTTGAATATATCTTAAGGCTAATGTTTGTAACATCCACTTGTTTTTGTGTGATGCACTTATTTTTTTGTTTTTCCTATCGCCAATCGCTTCGTGTTGCAATGTTAAATCGTTCTGGATCCTGATAATTTTTTGTATTGGATATGTGAATGAAGAGCCCAACCAGAACAACGAGACTTCCATACCCTCCAATTAGGGCGGTTAATGAGCCGAGCCGAATCGAGTTTTACTTTGTTCAAACTAACGAGCTGAGTTTGAGCTAGACTCATTTATTAACGAGCTACGTCGAGCCGAGCTCGAGCCGACTCATTTATTAATACATTGGCTCATCATTAAGATTAGGACTTCGGCTCAAGCTCAATTCTACGGCAATTTATAAATTAAATATCACAATATTTATATGTCATATATGATACATGTGATTAACTGACCTCGTGTCATATGAAGTGAGATATACAATTTAATAAACCTATAAATCGTCAACAAGGCAACTCATAAGATATAGATCGATTTTCTCACAAGTCAACAATCGAGTTGGCTTGCTAGTCACAATGTTTAGATATCTCATGAGCTCAAAACGAGACAATTCACGAGTTTAGCTCAACAAGCTACCTAATCGAGCTACCTCACGAGCCGAAAAAGGCTTAACTCAAATTTTTTCCTAAATTGAACAAGATTTTCTCGAGTCAAACATCAAACTGCTTATATACAGTTTAGCCCATTAGCAGCCCTACCTTCAACATAGGAAGGCAACATCCACAACCAACACTTTAGATAGACGACAAAAGAAAAATAGGATGGACCGACACAACTCCGGGGATAGACTCAGCCAGTTGTACGTGAATGTGTTCCAAATTAGCTAAGAACTACAACTCCCTACCAAGTTTATATCCCTCGTAGTCGTAACAAATGAGAAAAGTGTTATCCGTGATCAATATTTTCGTCACCAACACAATATATAGTAAGTCGTAACAAATGAGACAAGTGTTGCCCGTGATCAACATTTTCGTCACCAACACAATATATAGAGGCAATAGTTAGAAGGGGTGTAGTCCCCCTCAACTCTAAAATTGTGCAAATTTACGTGTTAATTTGTAACAAATTTATAAAATAGAGTAGATGGTAAAACTTATCCCCTCGGAAATTCAAACCCTTAGAATTTTTAGCTTCGGAGGTACATGAAGATTCCATAGAAATTTTCAAAATCGGCTATCAAAAGGAAGCTGAGCTTAGGGATGGCAACAAAACCCGAACCCACGGGTACCCACCCGACCCAACTCGGTTAACGCGGGTAAAATCCGTGTTGATGGATTTTGGGCCGGGTTTGGGTTTAAACCCGTTCACTATTCACCGGGTTGGGTTTGGGTTTAGGTAAACCCGACCCATGGGAACCCGCCCACACCCATATAATTAATTTTCTCGGTATATTTAATATTCTAAACAACTAATCTTATTTATGTTTGTGGAGACATGTCTAATTTTTTCTTTCTAATTGTGTAGAATGAAGTTGATGTTATCGAGTGGAGAGTGAAGAAACTTAATTGAAAGGAAGAAGCTTTCAATTAATCATGTTATTTATGGATAATTTGTGATTTGCTTCAATTTTCTTGAGTTTTCTAGATTAGTGTTCAACAATTTGTATAGTTAATTTGTGATTTGCTTGTATTTTCTAGAATGGTGTTTTATATATAGATAATTTGTATTGAGATATTGATATTTGACTTTAATTTTGATAGGAACTTGCTTTTGTAAATTTTTTACGACAAAAATCCGTGGGTACCCATGAACCCGCGGATACCCAGTGGGTTGGGTTGGGTTTGAGTTTTTCAAACCCAGTGGGTTTTACCCCGGGTTTTTTTCACAGATAAACCCACTGGTTTGGGTTTGGTAAAACCCGACCCGACCCAACCCGACCCATTGCCATCCCTAGCTGAGCTGGTGGATACTCGAGAATCTTAAACAGACGGGTGGGAAAAAACGACATCGTTGATAGCTCTCCCTCTTTCAAACGGCGGCGTTTTCTCTCAAGCGTGAATCGGCAAAAACCCTAAAGTAGCTCCAAAAATATATAAACACCGGAATTGGTCTCTCCAATAGCAGAGAGGAACACAAAGGCGGAAGGGCAAGGAGTAGGAGGCGGCCGGAGAAGATGTCGAAGCGAGGTAAAAACAAGATGAAGATCAGAGCTCTTCCGTTCGTTCGTTACTTAATCTCTCCAATTCGCCATTGTTAGTTAAACTTCTTTTGTAATTTATACAGGGAGGGGTGGGAGCGCCGGAAACAAGTTCAGAATGTCCCTCGGTCTGCCGGTGGCGGCGACGGTGAACTGTGCCGACAACACCGGGGCGAAGAATCTCTACATAATCTCCGTGAAGGGAATCAAGGGTCGACTCAACCGATTGCCGTCTGCTTGCGTTGGGGATATGGTTATGGCCACGGTGAAGAAGGGGAAGCCGGAGCTGAGGAAGAAGGTGATGCCTGCCGTCATTGTCAGGCAGCGAAAGCCCTGGCGCAGAAAGGACGGTGTCTTCATGTACTTCGAAGGTTGGTTCCTTCCATTTTTGCTCGATTTCGAGCGTTTTCACTAAAAATGTCAGCAGCACTTCTCTTGTTGCTTCCTGATAATAGTTCAGTGGCCATGCCTGAGAATTAGTTACTGATAATATGAAGCACAAGATGATCAGAAAATTGCCAGTTTTGAACTGTATGATGGGTTGGCATATCAGCATTGTGTTACCTGTCTGCTGGCACATTCCTTTTGTTGTTTCTTGGATTGCTATCCCTCATTTCTGTACATTGGGGAGGCGTTCTTAAGCCACTGTTCGTTAGAAGTCTACTTGAAACTGGTTTATGGGGTTCCTTTGGTGACTGCTCAAGTTTCCTTAGAGACTATAATGTTGGAGATTGGATGTGTGCTTTATTTATATTGGAGTAATGAATTGAGTTTTGTATGTTTTAGATGGGTCTATTTGGCTTCAGTTGAGTTTATAGGATGAACTCAGTTATTATTCTCTCTGCGCATGCCGCATGTTCAATGGTTTCGCTTTTCCCCTTCTATCTCATACATTCAACACAGTGGCCCCTAAAATTGTACCTTTGCACCTTGCAGATAATGCTGGAGTGATTGTGAATCCCAAAGGAGAAATGAAGGGTAAGACAAGTACTAGCTTTCTGTTTGACCTTGCCTTTTGATTTAGTTATCTTAATATGCTACCACTTTCTATCTTTCTTTGGGTAGTCTTGATACTTCTTTCTGGCACTATGATATATTAGCATTGTCATAGAGAATGTGAATTTAAGCGGCTCATGATTCGTCCCTTTTGCTTTACTGCTTAGAAGATTTGTTTTTAGTTTCGGAATAGGTTATTGTATCAGATGAATGTGGATGAATCTAGTGTTGCTTTCTGAACTGCTGCATTTGATGATGAGTGTTGGTTGTACTATTCACCAGATTCTGAATGAGATACATTTATAGCCGCTACTTATTTATATTCACCATTTTACTGCTTAGAAGATTTGTTTTTAGTTTTCGGAATAGGTTATTGTATCAGATGAATGTGGATGAATCTAGTGTTGCCTTCTGAACAGCTGCATTTGATGATGAGTGTTGGTTGTACTATTCACCAGATTCTGAATGAGATACATTTATAGCCGCTACTTATTTATATTTTCCATTTTGATGATCTGCAGGGTCTGCTATTACTGGTCCTATCGGAAAGGAATGTGCTGATCTATGGCCAAGAATTGCTAGTGCAGCCAACGCCATTGTCTGAGTTGTATCGATATTCGGCCTTGAAAGATGTTGGTTTATGTGTGCTTTACCGGCAAACAGGAGAAGGAAGTTAAAAAATAGTACAATTCCATCATGTTATCACTCGTAGTTTAGTTGTGTTTACTGTTGGAATCAATTTTGCCCTTTTGTTAGTTTTTTTCAGTTGCCTTGTATCGTAGCAGACTGTTGCAATCAATTTTACCATATCTTTCTAGATGCACAATCACTGCTCAAGGCCATTGAATGCAATTAACTCAGAATCTCCAGAATGATGGCCAGCAGCATTTTAAGATATTAATGCACAACATGCAGTGGCAGCGCTAGACGGGCTGGGCTCTGTCATTGGACACAGGTATGTTTTGATGAAACGATAATAAATTCCTATCTGTGCAAATGAAAAGGATTGATAATAAATTCCTATCTGTGCATATGAAAAGGATTGAATTCATCAATATGACGTAAAAGTATTTTGTCACTGTACTAGAACTCACTTACTGTAATTTGATAGTCATAAATTTATTTATTACATTGTAAGTATAATCCCCATTTGAATTAATTTATATATTATATTCTTAAAAAAGGACACACCTCCGCCATTGACAATATGATTACTGATGTCTATGATTGTGTATGGATTATGGAATGGCAAAGAGCAATTTAATGAGTAGAGTAGAGCGACGAAGTTGCAGCAGATGCTGCACTCTGCTTCTGCAGGAAATTTCTGAACCAAAAGGCAGAGCGTTTAGGATATCTCTTCAAATTGTCGTGAAAGTCGACGAACGTGATTCCGAAACGCACTGTGTAGCCAAGCTCCCACTCGAAATTATCAAGTAATGACCACAAACTGTACCCTCTTATGTCAACTCCAGCCCTGCAGAAAGCAAAGCACCCTCATTACATAAATCAACAGCCATTTATTGCTCTCGCGGTGAATATAAAAAAGAAAGATGAATGAAATCGCTAACCTGACAGATTCTAGTAGGTATTTGAGATGAAGGTAGTGGAATTTGATCCTCAACTCATCATTCAGTGCATCATTGAGAGGCAATGAGTTGTTACTTAGATCAGCCACCCCTACAGCAGGAGTAAAGAGCAGAATTCAAAACTACAGAACCATGGGAGATTCATTCCATCAAACCAAGAATTGGAGCTTCCAGATGGGCTTTTCCTTTACCATTTTCAGTCAGGAAGACTGGGACATTGTACTCTTCCTTCACATATACCAAAATTTCAAGTATTCCTTCCGGATAAATATAGAGCCAGTCACAAGCAGTCTGTCAAAACAAACCCCTCAGTTGCAAACATCTTATGCAAGGACCCCAAAGATCCCCCCATATTGGTTCTTCGGAAAGTCCTCGAGCAACAAGACTCGAGTTGTTGTGCACATTTCTAATGTTTGTGTTTAACAGAGAACAAGATGATCACATACCGGCTGACCAATGGGAACTCCATTTTTGTGCACTGCAAAACAGATTCATAAAGTTATATCATGTATAAATGTAACCATAACATATGTACTCTTGCTAATCTGATGCCGGTCAAGATTCCTAAGCTCACTCGTTATATTGACTCGACTATCTGTCGTGTAACTTGGATTGATGCTCGAGGATGAGGCATCTTCTGCATAATATGCTGAGTAGTAATTCACTCCAAGGAAATCAATAGACCCTTCAAGCATCTGCTTTTGCTCTTTTGTGAATTTGGGCAGCCTATCTCCAACCAGAGCTGTCATTGATTCGGGATACTCACCATATACCACCGGACGAGCTATCCTACAAAATTTATTCCATCTTTGTAAAAGCACGAACAGAGGCTTTAAGTCTCGAAAGATCTAACATGATAGTCTGATACTCATCATAGATGCCTCACCATGCAAAACCGAAGTCCAGAGCTCTGGAGGCAGCTTCTTTGCATGCCTTCGTTGGGTATTTGGGGACATACCATCTGGTCGAAATTGTTATACCAACCATTCCATTTTGAGAAGCCTAGGTTAACATCAATGTCAGTTCACTATATATATCTAGTGCTTAGGAATTCGAATGAACCGCTAACTTGCTTCAACGTAATCTGAAGCTATCCTTCAAGACTCAAAATTCTATTTCTTCTATCAATTTACTGACCTTATACTTGTTTCTGTACACATTTGCAGCAGCTGCATGACAAAGAAGGATGTTGTGCATGGCAATGTACGGCTCCGTAGCAGAGTTCCCACCTGTGCAATTACCCATATAGCTAGAACATCGACCTGGCGAATTAATGCCTTGGTCATATCCCTTAATAGTAATCGAATTCGGTTCATTCACAGTGATCCAGTTCTTCACTCTATCACCAAATTCTTTGAAGCAAAAATCCGCATAGTCCCGAAAATCATCCCTGGTTAACAAAACGATCAGCTGATTACAAGATCCTTCGACTTCATGGCACAGTAAAGTTGATTGCATGAATGGTTTGATTGATATAAAATATAGGCCTCATCACTCACACGATCTTCGAGCTGAGGAATCCACCATACTCATCTTCAAGAGAATGTGGAAGATCCCAATGCATCAAGGTTGCTTGGGGCTCTATCCCTGCCAAGAAGTACAGGTCATAGCAATTGAAGATATGAAGAAGGCTCATATCAAGTCTAAAAAATGTCAGCAAGTGAAATGAAGTAAGACATAGTACTCAACCATTCAGCAGAAGCTCATCAATGAGGCTGTTGTAGAAATCAACACCTTTTTGGTTGATCCCCAAACCGATTCTCCCCTCTGGAAAACAACAGAACAAATGATTCAAAACCACACTTTTGACCCAGAAGAACTATCCAAACAAGCTCTCGAAAGGATGCTCGTACGAGGCAATACACGCGACCATGCAATAGAGAATCGAAAGGCATCCAGACCAATTTCCTTCATCAGCCTGACGTCCTCCTGAGAAAAATTATCTCTGTGGGTATCAAAACAGCAAATGGCAGAAGACAAAAAGATCACCTCCATCAAGTCATATTTTCTTACCTTAAAACGGTAGTAGAATTCTTCAGCTACATCCCCCGTAGTATGATCCACAATCTTTTCTGTCCTCAACACCACAGCCAAAACCCTCCATATCGGTCAACTCGACAAATGAAGCATTTACAGAAACAATCAGAAAGTAGCCAACTTAAACTTTCTCTCAACAAGATCATAATGGACCCAATTGAACTTCTGAAGGATCTAATATATGATTCAGAGATGAAATTGAAATGGGTAGCTCTTACCTGGTTGCTGTTTGACGAAAACATCCCAGTTGCTTAGTCCTCTGCCATCCGTAAATGTTGCCCCTTCATACTGAAAGAAACCCAACAAACACAGAAGGGAGCAGAGGTTCACAAAAGAGACCAGCGAGCAGCTACCATAGAAGAAGGAGAAGATTAATGACGGGGAAAATCGAGAAGAGGGTTTTTACTTGGTAAGCGCTAGAAGAAGCACCGAATATAAAACCAGGAGGAAAGCTACTCCGATTGAGGAGGGAGGCAGGATACTCGTCGTCACCATCAAAGACCGGATATTGGAGGCACTCAATGCAAAGACGAGGCAGCAAAAGGTTGAGAAGGAGGAGGCGAGGGAGAAAAGTACTACCCAGAAAGAAAGAATGTATCTTCTTCATCATACCGATGAATTGGTTCGGGAATCACCAGATGAAATGGACTGCTGAAGTGCTGCTGGTTTATTCAGGCCAAAGTTTTGCCTGTTCCTCGTCAAGGGAATGGAAACAAGCTATCTTAATACAGATTACAATAATACAGATAGCAAACACTATACAAAGTGATAATATCAGACCAGTCGCTTGTGGATATAATTTTTTGTCACTTACTATTCGTCGATGGAGACAGGCATTCAATGAAAAAAGATGAGGAGTTCCGCTTCTACACGCCACTTCCTCTGCTTCCATTTTTCAGGTTCTCTATCGTATCCTTGTTGCTTTCCTGGATGGTCGAGACGCCATGGCCAGATCATAGTGCGTTGGTTCTCAAGGATACGAGGACAGTGGTAGGATATTGGAGGGAGAATCAGCTTTATTGTGTCTGTCAGAGTTCAAGACCTGGAAAGTAGTGATGATCCAAGTAGACTGTTGGTGGCAGAGTTGTTATTTTTGTTAGGACATTTGAAACGAGTGTATACGTACGATAGTTTAAGACTAAGTGACTAAGATTGTGATAGAGTCTTATTTCCATCATTTACAAAGTCTTGAGTTACCTGACTGCTTTTGTTCTATTAGTTTTTTTGTTCACAAAGAAAGCTTTGTCAATGTGGGTGTTATGAGTTTTGATGAATGTAGCTATATGGTATCCAAGCTTAGTAGGGCAGTTGTACTAGTAAGTTTTCTATGATCTGTAATTCTGTATCATTAGAATTTCTACTATATTCATCCACGTTTTTGCTTTGTTTCACGGCAATCTACCAGCTTACTAGCAAAGGATGGATGTGAGTCTCGAAATTCTTTGTCAAAGTAGTTGGTATTTTTAGTCTGCAGTTCATTAGGTGTTTGTTTTCAAGTAGAGGTGGCAAATGGGACCGGTTACTATGACAACACCCTTTGTGTTGTTATTGTAACAACACTAGTCTCCAACCAATAGGAAGCTAGGGTTGTGATGACTTTTTATTAAATGAGTTGACCTAGTGTAAAATCAAAACAGGGGTATAATTGTCATTATGAAAAATATGTTTAAATAATAATAAAAAATAAAAAATAAAAAGATAAAAAATATTTTTTTAATTTTCGGCCCAAAATTTTGGTCGCCGGAGTTCGGCCATCGGTCGCCGGAATCTGGCCGCCGGTCACCGGAATATGCTTTTTTGTCATCGGAATATGCCACCGCCGCCGGAATATGCTCACCGTGGTCGGAATATGCTTACCGGCGTCGGAATCTAGTCATCGGGGCCGGAATATGCCTATCGGCGCCGGAATCTACTCACTGACGGTCATCGGAGTTTGGTCAACGATTTTCGTTGACCGGTCAACGGCCAACGACCACCAGATATTATGGTCTGCATTGTGAGATTTATGGTTTGGTTTCTCATATTTTTGTATGCCTTTTTGTGGTTTGCTTTATCGTGTTTGTGGTTTGCATTAAGAAGTTTCTGGTTTGCTTTATCGTGTTTGTGGTTTGCATTGAGAAGTTTCTGGTTTGCTTTCAAAAATTTTGTGGTTTGCATTGAGGGGTTTTTGGTTTGTTTTAATAGATTTTTGGTCTGCATTAGGACGTTTCTGGTTTGTTTTTGTGGTTTGATTTATCGTGTTTGTGGTTTGCATTATGAGGTTTCTGGTGTGCTTATGACATATTTTGTGGTTTGCTTTGTGAGGTTTGTGGTTTGTTTTAGGAGATTTGTGGTATGCATTAGTAGGTTTTTGGTTTGCATTAGGAGGTTTCTGGTGTGCTTTCACAAATGTTGTGGTTTGCTTTGTGAGGTTTGTGGTTTGTTTTAGGAGATTTGTGGTATGCATTAGGAGTTTTCTGGTTTGCTTTATTGTGTTTCTGATTTGCTTTAGAAATGTTTGTGGTTTGCTTTGTGTTGTTTTTTGTATGTTTTAGGAGATTTATGGTATGCATTAGAAGGTTTATGGTATGTTTCTTTTTTGTTTATTTTAATGTGTTTGTGGTTTGTATTAAAAAGTTTATGGTATACTTATGCAATATTTGGGATTTGTTTCATCTCTTCATATTACAATTTTGACAAACAAAAAAACAAGATTGTCTTGCGTTCCAATAGGCAAAAGCTAAAAAACGGCTGACATATGTTGCCTTGCCTTTCCCTTTTTTATACGCATACCATGGATCATTCTATACATGGAATAAATCATATGAGCATATAATACATATCTATCTGTCAAACCATATGCGAAGAGAATTCGCCCCCAGATATCCTATGAAGGCATCAAAACAAATAAAGACTGATATACCAATGGTATCCAGCAACGTGGGAAAACTTGCCTGTTTACTTTCATTTCTGTTTCCTGTTTTTTAGAAAACAGATGTTGAAAACAAGTGAAAACAACATTTTGTCGTTTCCAAAAACAGCAGGAAGTTGCCACTTTCTGTTTTCATAGTTGGAAACGAATAGAAAACAGAATGAAAAGTAAACAAGTTTTCTCATTTCGGTTGCCAAATTTATCACATGAAAACAGAAAACAGGAAACGAAAATGAAAGTGAACAGGACCTTAGGATTTTGATCTACTCTCACACACTCTCTATTCAAGCATTCCTGCCATGCCAACCAAACGAAACCAAGTGGAGACAAGTGTCAAATTGGAAAAATCCATCCTTCTCTAACACAATAACACAGCAGTCGATTGTTTCCAGGAAAACTTTTAAAGTAATAGCTTGGTCGCTTGAGCATCAACCAAGGAACTAAAACACAGAGATTGCTCCCAATTTTAGCTGCGAAAAACAATTTTGGTACTGAATAATCTCGACCGCGTAGCTCTCCTTCACTTTCCCTTCCACCCTGCACGGCATCACCCACTGCGAGAACCGCGACAGCCGCGCCGGCGACCCAACCTCCGCCGCCACTGCCGCCTTCTTCCTCCTCCTGCGCCCTCCTCGTCTGTCCATCCTCCTGGTCGCGCCGGCAAACTCTGTTTCGCTGATGGTCTTCAATTGAGGGGTTAGAACCTTCCACGTCATCATCGTCGGTGGAAAGTCTCCATTTCTTCTTCGCTTTCATAGTCCTCCGGACCTCCTTCACTGCTAAAGAGGCTCCCAGTGTCGACGGAGGAAGTCGAGGTCCTGATCCTCGTCGTTTTCTTCTTCTCGACACGCCGTTTCGACGACGCCTTCTTCGATGTCGTCGAACTCGTCCAGGACAGTGGCGGATTGAGGATCACTGCTTGCCTGAGATTGGAGGAGAAGGATCGACGGCGGCGGCAGAAGAGAAGATTGAGGAGAAGCGATCGGGAAAGGTAGGGGAGGAGATCGAGAGTTATGGGAATTGGGATTTTTTAATTTAATTTTAATTTTATTATATTTTAGGTAAGTTTACTCTTATACCCTTAATGAATTCTGTTGTTAGTATAACAACACTTATCCGGACCCGTGGCAAATGGATCGGTCCATGGATTGAATCCAATGGATTAGTGGATTCATGGATTGGATCAAGTGGATTGATGGATTATTCATGAATCCAAATGACATCCGCAATCTTGGATCAATATGTAAAATGTGAAAAGTTTAGTTACTAAAATGTCGTAATGAAAAATTTTAGGTACCAAAACGTAATTTTCCAATGAGATTTTTCGTATAAAAAAATTAAATTTTAGGTACTAAAATGCAAAATATAAAAAGTATAGGTACCAAACCGTAATTTTCCATTTGGATCCATGGATTGATCCATGAATCCACCAATCCAATTGGATTTGGATTAAATGGATTGGATATTTGGATTAGATGGATATTTTTAATGAGTTGGTGGATTGGATTGAGAATTGCCACCTCTATTTTCAAGTGCAGGTTTGGAAGTTTTGGTGTAGATCTTGATTTGCTTCCCATGCATATTTTGGTATACAAATACAAATGTTAGAGAAAGTGAGAAAGGACACGAAAATGCTTAGGGACGAAGCAAATTTGCGTTGATATCAAGCCGTAGCCAGACCGGTCAGTTGGATCACCTCCGATTAGAGTCGATGTCGGTTCACAGAAAGTCGTTTTTCCTCAAAATTGATAGCAGGTAAAAATCGCAAAAAACTAGTCAAAACCACAAAAATCTAGTCATTTGACTGTTCAAACTCTTAAGCATAATGCAAATATGCACAATTTTTGGAGTTAGTAAATTATGTATGATACTTATTAAATTACATTCAAGTTGTTAAAATATTAAAATATTACCATATACACATAAATATTTTAATATTATATATAAAATAGTTTAAATAGGTTCGACCAATAAACTTAAAATTATTTACATTACCTTTTTCTTATAGAAAATTATTTACATTACCGACTCAACAAGTTAAACTGGATTGATAACCTTCCTAATTTGGCTAAAAAGATGGCTGGGACCTTTCTAGCTAGGGATCTAATCGCCAGCCAGCCAGCCAGAACAAAGCTTCCAATACCCGCATTTCCCCCCAACACATAATTTCTACTATAACGTCTCTTCCACTCAAAACCAACACCAGACAGACAGACACCATACTCTGCAATCGACTTCCCACCTCACAGTTTGGTAAAATCGCTTCAACACCATCTCCTTCACTCTTCCTTCTTCCTCACCGCCATTAACAAATGCTGTTCCTTTTATTAAAACCCCATTTCCCCATGCCTCTTCTCGCCATCTTTCTTTCCCTTTCTCCCACCCTCCATGGCTGGCATTGCCGTGGTTCCTCGTTCGTTCCACTCTCGTGGTGGTGATGATGATGACCGTGACAACTTACATGTATGTACCTTCCTAATTTTGCTTCCTCTTGGTTTGTATTTGTATATGCACACGTACTGTTTGATGAAATTCCTGTGTTGATCGTTCAGCAGCGCCCTCCCACCCGCCACTCGGCAGCTGCTCCCAAGCCGTGCAGAGTCTGCGGGGATGAGATTGCGGTGAAGGAAGATGGAGCCCCCTTTGTGGCCTGTCACGTTTGCGGGTTTCCCGTTTGCAGGCCTTGTTATGAGTACGAGAGAAGTGATGGCAACCAGTGCTGCCCTCAGTGCAACACTCGCTATAAGCGTCACAGAGGTACCAGCTTCTAATGCGATTACGTTTCCGTCGTCTCCCGTAAATCGTTTTTGAGGGTATAATTCGGATCATTTTTTTTTTGGATGACGAGCTGAAACTACAGAACTTGCTCAAGTTTTTGCGTTTAGAGATTGGCTGACAGTTACTGTTATAATGAGTGCCTCTTGTGTGCAGGTTCTCCTAGAGTCCCTGGAGATGACGAGGATGATGATATTCATGGTGCAGATGATTTTGATGATGAGTTTCCGGTTAAGCTTCATCATCAAGATGAATCAGGTCACCAAG